TTTAAAACTTTGATGGAGTTGTATATAAATTATTCTGTTTTTTCTTTTGTTTCTTGTGCTTTTGATGATGTCCAAAAAATTATTGCCAATTCCAGTGTTATGAAGCTTTTCCCCCTATGTTTTCTAAGAACTCGATAATTTTAGCTCTTACATTCAGGTCTTTGATCCACTTTAAATTTTATATATAGTGTAAGGCAAGGGCCACTTTTATTCTTTTGAGAGCTTGTCAAGTTTTTAAATGTCTATTGCCTTTTTGGGATATAAATGTGTAAAGCTACCTTGTGGAGATGTTAAGATTTTGCTGAGACTTGATGGTTTTTATTTTACACTAGAGGCCTGGTGCACAGATTGGTGCACCGGTGAGGTCCCTCAGCCTGGCCTGTGGAATTGGGCTGAAACCAGCTCTCCGACATCCCCCAAGGGTTCCCGGATTGCGAGAGGGCGCAGGCCAGGTCAAGGGACCCCACGGGCGCCTGATTGGGGCCAGGGAGGGACCATGGGAGGGCTCCAGGGTGTGTCCGGCCCATCTTGCTCAGTCCCAATCTGCCAGACCCCAGCAGCAAGCTAACCTACCCGTTGGAGCATCTGCCTCCTGGTAGTCAGTGCACGTCATAGTGAGCGGTTGAGTGGCCTTAGCATATTATTAGCATATTGCCCTTTGATTGGTTGAACGGACGACTGGACACTTAGCATATTATATAGGACTAGAGGCCTGTTGCAGGAAGATTCCTGGAAGAATAGAGCTTCCTGAGGCCAGAGTGAAGCAGAGAAGGCTGCCTCTCTCCCTCCTGTCTCCGCTGCCTTGGCTCCCTCCCTTCTCCACTGCCTCGTTCCCTCCCTTCTCCGCTGCCTCGGCTCCCTCCCGTCTCTGCTGCCTCGCTCCCTCCCGTGTCCGCTGCCTCAGCTCCGTTCTCTTCTCCGCTGCTTTGCTCCCTTCTGCAGCACTTGGCTTCCTTCTACGCTCTGCACCTGTGTATGTAAATTAACTGCCATCTTTGTTGGGTTAATTTGTATATCACTCTGATTGGCTGGTGGGCATAATGGAGGGACAGTCAATTTGCATGTTTCTCTTTTATCAGTGTAGATTAGTGTAGATAGGATAGGATGGTTTTACCTTTTTATTGTGAGTTAAAATAATTGTGAGTTTAACTTTATTTAAAATGAAATAATTCCTCTGAGTGAATATTTTTCTTCAATATTCAAATAAATTTTCTTCTCTAAGAAACAATTGTATTAATTTAAAATTATATAAATTAGGATTTTTATTAAAGTGATGTCATGTGTTTTTAAGTTAGGACACTTAAGTCCATTGGGATATTAGAGTAACCAGCTTAACTTTGTATATCTACTTCTGTGATATTTTGTATTTTTGTCCTTTTTTGGGTGGTTTTAAGTCTGCTTCAAGCTGGTATATTTAGGTATCTTTTTTTTTAATCCTCACCTGAGGATATTTTCTCACCGATTTTTGGAGAGACTGGAAGAGAGAGGGAAAGACAGAGATATTGATGTGAGAGAAATACATTGATTGGTTGCCTCCTGCAAGCACCCTGACAGGGCAGGGGAGGAGCCTACAACCAAGATATGTTCCCCTTGACCGGAATCAAAACCGGGACCCTTTGGTCACTAGGCGGACACTCTACCCATTGAGCCAAATCGACTATGGCTATTTAGGTGGATTTACAACAAATACTCATTATCTCTTTTTTAAAATATATTTTTTGCTGAAACCGGTTTGGCTCGGTGGATAGAGCCTCGGCCTGCGGACTGAAAGGTCCCAGGTTCGATTCCGGTCAGGGGCA